AGGGCGACTTTTGGTCATTCACTTTTCCAGAGCTTTGCCTGACCTTTGACCCAAGAACTGGAAAATACTCAGCTCTCTATAAAGCTGGTATGAAGTCTAATTACTTCTTGAATTCGAAATCATTTCAAGATTGGCAAAGTATGCAAAATGTACATGAATATTGAAAGCTTGCCGGATGAAATAAATGAAATAAATGGGTGCTTGTACTGTAACATGTGTGATGATGAGCAACTAGTAAACAGCAGAAAATGTTCAAGAACGACAAAAAAACAAAAACACGCCATATCTGGGTAGACTACTATCTAGACGCTAGTACAGCAGTTAAGAGAAAGTTATGAACAATGGTTGGCAATTAGACAAAATCACAACCAAGGCCCCCTAAGTCAATTTTTAATTTCACAGCACTATTTTCTTGTCTCCTGAAGTTGAGAACATGATTCTCAAAAAGTAAAGTATGCAAAGAATGTATCAAAACATTTCTTTTTAGATCAATTTCGTATTTTAAAGCAAGTTTTAAAAGTGAAATTGGGGGAATGAAAAGGATAATAAAATGCAGTGGAAAAGAACAAGGAAACAGAAAAGAGTAAAACAAGTAAATTACCTCTGGAGCGGCCAATGCATGTGCTGCTCAGAATTGCGTGACCCATGAAATTTAGTCGAACCACCATTAGATTTAACGTCAGAGCCACTGAAAAAGGAAATGCCACATGCAAAACAGGGAATGACATGAGAAGACTGCTAAAGAGACAGAATTAAAAGAGAGCTAACTAAAATTCTGATTAGATAATTTTGACACTGAGAGCTGTCAAGAGTTTTCAACCTACTACTCCCTTCAGATGATACCAGAAGAGTTCCCAATCTCTACTACCATTACCATTAGGATCACTAGTAAAACAAATCATAAAGAAGAACTAGCAAGTGAATTAACAATCATTTGGAAAAAGATTTATGATTTGAAAAAATAAAACAGAAGACTGATTAGTATGGTGGAATTGCAGACAATGTTTCTCTTTTAAAAATAAAAATGTAACCTTAACGTAAATTAAGTTCTTCCAATAGATTATGAGCAAAACAAGGAAATGCAGTTTTAGTTTACACCAGGCAGAGGCAAACATCACAGTGCAAATGTCAAATTACAAAATACGTAATTTTAAGAGATACTGTGCCTCCCTTATTATATCACACCGATTTGAAAATCATACTATGAAAACGCTGGCAGGCCACACTAAAACATACAGATTTACTGAACACGTATTACATTAAAGTTACTTACCTGCCATGACCTGCTTAAACCAAATTTAGGAAAAATACTTACAAGACAATGTACAAGCATAAGAGTAGCAACAGGAGCAACAGGAGCAAGAAAGACATGCTGAAGGGTAGTTTTGGTCAAAGTTATGTCTAGGTATAGAAAATGGAGGCGCAAAGGTAATACACACAATAAAATATATGGTAAGTATGACAGTTAAAAAATACTGACAAATATAAAGCTACAAAGAAATTTTAAAGATAATCCAAGGAAGTTTGTTTTTAAATAATGCAGAAGCTAGGAGACCTAGCATGTATAACAAAATCACCCAATTATTTATGCTTAAAATTTGGAGGGTTAAAATGCAACATCTGTGGCAAGTAGAGCCATCTTATGGTATATTCTGATTTATTTCGGGAAAAGCTGATTTAAAGAGAAGCGGCATTAGTAGCGCTATATGTGAGCAAATGTTAAAGTGCGATCTAATCATGCCAAAAAGAATACCTCTTGACATCGTACGTATCCACTAGCACCATGAAACCATCAGGGAATGCTATAGCAAAAGCTATGAGCGCAGCCAGCTCCCCATCGCTGGCCTCTTCTGTCAAAGTTTCTAGATGCGTGGCAAGCTCCTTCCTCCACTTCTGACATAGGTCTAACATGTCATGTTCTTCCCCATCCACTCGATGGCGCAGTGTCTGCAATTAAATAATATGAATAACCCTATTTTATTAAAGAGACAAAGTAAGTAAAATTTCTTAAACGGTATTAGTGAATTGTAGCTATCACCTTAGTATGAAGATCATGAGTACCAGTGAATGAAGTTATGTAGGAATGTGCATGTGTTCCTCTGACGGGTATGTTAAACAGTTTTCCAGCCAGCACATTGCTGGTGCCATCAAATCCACCTTAAAAATAGAAACCTCCAGTTAGGTAAGGAGTAAAAGCAGGCAAGATATGTTATGGTTAGATGAGTGTAGATATTAACATTTTTTTTTTTTGACTCTTCAATCTTCTAAGTTGCATATTAATATTAATTATTAATAATTATTACGAAAGGAAATGAAATGTTATTTGGGTAGTATACAAGTTCCAAAAATGAGAATTGTTAAAAGTGAATGCTGATCCACCTCCTGTTGCCTGCATAAGGAGACCTTGGGTTGGGAACAGTGGGATGGGGAGGGGTTTGGAGTCAGTGCCAGGCAGTGCCAGGCAGTGGGCTCACACCCTGCCTGAGCACTGCCTACTGCTCTTCAATCAATACCACAACACATCTGACCCACACCAAGTACTTTGCAGAGCACAATCAGATCAAGTATCATCAGTATTTTAAGAATCTATTTGTGCCATTCTAAACTACATGACAACTTAGAAAAAAAAATAAGGTCATAAATGCATAAAAAATACGTAGGAAATATTTTTACTCACCAACATAAGCATACCGAGAAGCAGAGAGTCCACCATCTGGCCCTTGTGCTCTACGTAAGCCAAACTCTAGAAGCGAAACCTGTTTACCAGCTGCTATTCTATATCGAGCAGCATTTGTTGCCATAAGGCTGTATACAAAAACAGAAGTTGTAAGAAGTAGAGTAATAACCATACCCACAGTTGCAACTCCTCAGCTACCATGGAAGTTACCTTGCAAAATTAATTAAAGTAAGAAGAGTAGTTTCTAAAAGCTGGACAATAATTAGAGGTCCTTCAACCCGCAATAGAGGTACTCTAAAACACACAATGAAGGGGGAAAACAGTTATCAATTCTTCAGTTTAAAATATCCATATTACGGCAAACAACAAAGTACAAACAACAAATTACCGTGGGAATACCACAGATCCCTCCTCAATGGCATGTACAGTTACATCCTTGGCTGTCAGATTCTTGAGGTAGTCAAAGAACTCTGACTCAATGCTAGAAGGCAGGGTTTCCTTGAGGTATGTAATGTCTACAACAAAAAAGAGAACAAATTTTCAAAATTTGTTGCATTTTCCATTAAAATCTTGTGTGATTGAACTAGATATATTTTACATACCACTTTCAGAGTAATGGAAATTTTCCAGGAATTTCAAGCATTCTTCCAGACCGGCAAAGATGGTAAACTCGCCTTGAAACGGATTTTGCCGGAAGAATAAATCAAAGACTGCAACATCCTTCTTCTTACCAGACTTCCAGTAAGCATAAGCCATGGTAATCTGGTACAGATCTAAAACAGGAGCAGAAAAAGAAGTTTTAGATGATATGTAGCCACAAAGGATGCCAGTACCACAGATGAAGTGGGGGACCATGTAGACCTCCCAGGAAACTGAGTGTACGTAGACTGACATGAAGAACATAGAGTTTCACCAAAACGTGCACACTTCCTAGGCCTTCGGTGTACTACGTAGGTACTAAGTGTTCGGAAGGAACACTTAAAAAAACAAATACAATTGCAGAAATGCGGTTGGTGGGCTAAAAATTGCCAAAAGTGTACACGTGAACCTACGTTTTCCCCCTCACAAAATTACGACCACTTCTCCGAACAACAGCTGATTGCACGCAGCTCTCACGAAGAGGAGGCTAGGAGCAGAGGAGAGGAGGATAGTGGACAGTTTCAACGACATACTGGTCGGCAAAACGACACGCAAGCACATCAAAGGGAAGTCCGGTCCCAAATGGGCTCAACCACGAAGGTCAGTTGGGCGAAAAGTCTGGCAGAAAAACAGAGTCCTGAAAAACTGAATCCGAATAGGCTAAGAAAGGCAGGTAGGCAACAGGGTTGCAAAATCCCTGAACAAGCAATCGGTTTATTGCGCTAGTCATGGTTGAAGTTGGAGTTGAGGTGTTAAAACCATGAGCCCACACAGGGCCAGCATATC